GAGGAATAATGCCTTTTGTCGACAGAGTTCTGTCGACAGAAGGCATTATTGCATCTACACTGTCCTTTGCGTCTACACTCTCATGTCAACAAAGTGACTTGCTTTGTCGACAGAACTGGATGTAATCTAGACGCTCTTTGTCGACAGAAGCTTTGTTGACAGTATCTGTCGACAAAACTTCTGTCGACAAAAGCCTGTAGTCTGGACGTACCCATAGTCTCTGCCTAAAGGGCCCTGGGCTGGGTCCCGGTGGAGAGGGAGAGTCCAGGTCCCCTACCACCCATTTTCCCTTCCCTGGATAATCAAACCCCAGGCCAGGAGAAGCTTCTCTGAACAGCTAGGCCTCCAAAGCTGTATTTACCCTAATAGAGGGGCAGGCACTTTTATGTTGGGACTGCTAGGGTTGTATTCCCCCTGACAGAGCGGGCAATGGGACCTTAAGAGGGAGACTCACCCCACGCCAGGGGCGTACCCCGTGACAGGGTCATAGTGGACAACAAGCTAAATATGAGTCAGCAGTGTGACACTGTTGCAAAAAAAGCAAACAAGATTCTAGGATGCATTAGCAGGACTGTTGTGAGGAATACACAAGAAGTCATTCTTCTGCTCTGAGTTGGTTAGGCCTCAGTTGGAATATTGTGTCCAGTTCTGGGCACCACATTTTAAGGAAGATTTAGAGAAATTGGAGAGGGTCCAAAGAAGAGCAACAAGAATGATTAAAGGTTTAGAGAACATGAGCTATGAAGGAAGACTGAAAGAAATGGGCTTGTTTAGTTTGGAAAGGAAAAGACTGAGAGGGGACATGATAGCAGTTTTCAAGTATCTAAAGGGTATTACAAGGAGGAGGGAGAAAAATTGTTCTCCTTGACCTCTGATTATGGGACAAGAAGCAATGGGCTTAAACTGCAGCAAGGGAGGTTTAGGTTTGACATTAGGAAAAACTTCCTAAATGTCAGGGTGCTTAAACATTGGAATAAATTGTCTAGGGAGATTGTGGAATCTCCATCTCTGGAAATATTTAAGAGCAGCTTAGATAAATGTCTATCAGGGATGGGCTAGCCGGTGCTTGGTCCTGCCATGAAGTCAGGAGACTGGACTCAATGATCTCTTGAGGTCCCTTCCAGTTCTAGTGTTCTATGATTCTATAGTGCCTTCATTCCTGTTTTCCTTCATTTTCTTAAGAGTTAGTATGTTCCCTCTTCTTTTGATCTTTACCTATGTACAACTGTATGTAGTATACAGTCTGCTTTCTGCTTCATGTGCTACCCAAAAGCAAAAGGAAACCTGCCTGATATGGACTATAAATGTGTAGATGGAAAAGAATTAATAAAAAAAGTCTATGATGGTGATGCAGCTAATGCTGATGAAATATTTCCTTAAAGAAACAAATTTTGGGTGAAATCCTTTATCCCTAAAATGGATGCACTTGATACCAAAGTAAAAAGTAATTATATATGAAAATGTGGCAAACAGTTTGTCATTTTTTATTTATTTGAATACCTCCAAGAAATAGCTAAATGAAAGAGTAATGCTCATGATGAAGAATTATCTCAAAGAAGTTGATGTGAACCTCACTGGGGAAATAAAACACTTTGATGCCTATATCAAGGAATATTATGCAGAAAATTACATCATCGTCCAACTTAAGATTCAGTTGTCATTCCCTAATGTAGAAACAATTTTGCAGCATTTTTTTTTTAGTCTAATGGTAACAAACTGCTCAGGAGAAAAGTCAGTTTCACAATTGAAATATATCAAGAATGAACTGCAGACAGTAGGGATGTTAGATAGCATGTAATTGAATAGTCATGTAACCACATGAAATTTTAGCTGTTATTTGACTGTTCAATAGTCCATTGGGGCAGCTAGTGTGCTCAAGCCCCATTCCCGTGGAGCCCCCTGCCAACCTGCACAGCTGCCTCTCTAACAGAGGCAGCAACAGGATGGCAGGTGGCAGCCAGTCCACCAGGGAGCCAGTTTAAAAACCAGCTCCCCATGCAGACTGGCTGCCTGCTGCCCCACACTGCTGCCTCTGATGCAGAAGCAGCAGCACAGGGTGGTAGCAGCCCCTATCCACTGGGGGGTCTGAGCTTTGTAGGAGACAGCAGGCAGGGCGGGCAGGTCTACAGAGGGAGCATGTGCCAGGAGCCTGCTTAAAAGCAGGACCTTCTCTTGGTCCGGACCGATGCTCCGATCTTTGACAAGACAAGACCAGAGATTCATGCAAGACACCCCATCTTTTATAGGACTTTTCTTCCATTCAGGTCTATACATTTTGGTGCATCAGCTCTTAATCAGTCACCATTTTAACATCTGTTTATCTGAAAGTCGTTCTTCTTTGCCATCTGACATCAATATGTTGGTGGTTCTTTTCCAGTCTTTACTTCAAGAGTATCTTGTTTGTAAAAGGGCACTTGCTCCTTAACACTCCAGGGCCGGCCATATGTCTTTCTTTGGTCTGCTTTGTATTGGTCCCAATGTATGATATCTTGGTACCTCTGAGTTTTATGACTTCTTCTTCTTCCCCTGCTTTGACCATCTGAATTCTGAAACTGGTGAGCCTTTGAGTTGTTATCTTTCCAAAGAATCACATTTCAAACTCATTCACTCCCTTTCCCCAGGAACTACTCAATCTTTCCACACATGGGAAAAGGGATACATTTATCCATACAAAAGGTATCAATCTAATTCCTAATACAAAGCTTCTATTAATAGAAAATTTTAATTCATTCATTATATTTTCTTTATAATACAATCTATATTCTAATTACTCCTAAGAGTAACAGCGTGATCATGCTGAATCACAAGAATCCTTCTAATCTCTTTCTGTCTTGACATTGGATACAATTCACAAGCAGTTTGCCTGATTGTAAAGAGTCAACATCAGTGGGAGACAGCACTGACTCCCTCTATTGCCCCTTTAAAGGGCAATTGCAATGTCACAGTCTATAAACAAGCAGTTTATAAGGCCCAGTCCTGGGTCAGAAAGACAAAAGTTTACCAGGGGAGGCTTGATAACAGTTTAAAGCCCCAGCCAGGTCACAGCCAGGTGCGGGTTGGGTCTCCTAGCTGGCGGACAGCCAACAAGCACAGGGGTTTTGCCCCCATAGGGGGAAGCCTGCCACTCAAGGGGAGAGGTGGCAGGGAGAACACAGGCCCTCCCACTCCACTGCATCCCAGCCCAGGGCCCTAGCAGTGACAGCGCAGCAGCTACTGGGTCAGCGGGGATCTGGACCGCAACATGCTGAGCCAGGTCTGAGAGTCAGCGGGAATCCAAGCTGCAACATGCTGCCCGCCCGATCTCCATCTCCTCAGCCACCCCGGGGTCAGCTGTCCCTGGGCGACTTCCCAGTTCCCCCTAAGGGCCTACCTGCCTCATGCGCTGCTCCTTGGGGTCAGCTGGGGATGGAGGTGCTGGCAGTGTGTCCATCGATTTCAGCTCTGGCGCCAGCAGGGGCCCAAGTGGACTGGTCCAGTCTTTGGGTCCCAGAGGCCTCAGCGGGTCTTTGGGTTGTAGCAGCAGTCTCATTGGTCCAAGCCAGTTGTCAGGGGCTGGCAGGGGTCCTGGAGGCCCAACCCAGTCCTCCCGTCGGGCATAGCGTGTCTGGGCCCTTCGCTGAGGGAGCAGGGACCGAGCGTCTGGCCTGTTTGGCTGCTGGGCTCCAACTGAACACTAAGCTCTTATACCCTGGGTCCTACCTCCCTGCTTCCTGTGGGCAGGGCTGTTTGAGGCTGGACCAACCCACCCAGCGGTCTTAGAGGGCCCTTTCTCCTCTGGCTCAAAGGGAAGCCATGTTGCTGGCCTAAACTTCTTACACTGATGAATCTTTATTAAGTGCCTAGAAGACTGTTCTTCCTTGCTAACCAGAGAAGGGCAGCTGGCAGAGTTATAGTTGTTTAACATTCATTCTTACACTACAATTAAGCTACATTTCATGAAACATTGTAAAACTTTGTGGTCTACAAGCTGAAGTAAATTGGTATTGCTCTATTAATGTATCCGGGTGCTATTTTGACTTACACCAGCCAACGATCTAGCTCAGCATGTGTCATGTTTGTAGAGTTTGCATACTTACTTTTAATATAACTTATAAAACCAAAAAACTTGCAGTAGTCAAGCTCTGGGAGGAACGGAGAGGACTGGGGATGGAGCACAAATCATCTGATTCATGGCACTCCAAAAGTGCTGGGAGAGTAAGGGAGGAGAAGTTAAGTGCAGGCTTCTGTGCCCTAATGTGCAAGAGGTTTGGGGGAAGAAGGAAGAGAGGGGGTATGTGGATAGAGGTGGAACCCCAATAGGCCACATGTGGCCCATGAGCTGTAGGTTCCCCACCACTGTTTTAACCAGAACAATCTTCTTTCTTGATTTGTGGGATTGTGGGTTTTGTCTTTATCTTTGTGCCTGAGTTGCAAAAGCAAACAAACAAAAAATAACAACAACCAAATGTTATTTAGGAATAGATTTTTATCTATAATTAATTTAAACTGACTGCATATGATATATGTTTCTCTGAAAATCCAATTGACAAAATTAATCACAAATATTTGTAATGACAAATATACTTTTATGAACATTTGAGAATGGTAGCACTCATGAAAACGAAGAATAGTACTGATTTGAGCTAGATATACAGCAGATGATGTACAGACATCCCCAGAGATCCTTTGCCAATGTATCTCTGTCTTGGCCTGTAACAGAACTGCTAATATTCCATTCCACGCTCTCTTGAATAGTCTGCAGACACCGAAAAAGGGAAGAAATACCAATCTGCATAGGGTCTACACATCAGCCAGCAAACAGCACACTAGGTAAAGGTACCGCAGATCTTGAGTAAGTGACTAACTTCTACCATGGAGGTGAAATATTTATTTTCTTCTGTGTTAAGCTCATATGGTTCAGGAATCACCAGTCAAGCTGCATGTCCTAGATACACATTCAGTAATAGCAGATAGGTGCTAGCACACAGGACATACTGAACAACATGTAAGCGAAACCCCAGAATAGTACAAACACATCCATTATGTCCACTTAAGTGGCTGCAAATTTATTGCATACTTGTATGTGCATCAGGTGACTTGATGAAAAATCTAATCCTCTGTGGTGATTTTGTATTGTATATAAATGGGACCAACAATGAGGCTACCATTCTCCTTACATTGGAACATTACCAGCATAGCTGAGCACTGGTCACCCACAATGTTATTTGAACCTAAAGTAAATGTCCAGAGTTCCAAGGGCAATGTATAAAGACTCTATGACTATTTAATTCTGCAATGCCTCCACATATTTTGAAGTGTTTAATTAAACTTGCTATTAATCACAGTTGACGGTGACTCTCTGATGCCTTCTCAAGGTTTCTCAAATATTTTTCCTAGTTTCATTACAATCTCAAATTATTAATGGTTCAATTTCAATATCATACATTCAAATCTAATTATAAGATACTCCTCTCCAACAACATCATTATCATCGCTCTTGTAGAAATCTAAAATTAGAGAAGAGAAAGCAGTTTTTGTAGATGAAAATGAATTATATAAAATAGTTCTACATATCTTTGACAATAGTTACATTAATTCATTTCAAATTTTCTAGTACAATTTAAGTGTTAAAAATCAGGCTTGCACAACAAGGGAAATCTTACGATACAGTGTATTCTACAATATATAAGAAAATATATTTATACAGTGAAGTACAATTTTTCAGTTCACCCCTCAGATAACAAAGGATAGGGATAAAATATTCACATAGAATTTGAAAGTAATTGAAGAGCTAAGGCAAGAAAAAGAAGTTTACATTTATACACAAGTTAGGTTTTCTTCTGGTTCCCCATCTACCAAATTAATGCTTCCTGTCATCACAGATTCTTCCTGAGATAAGATGGTCTTTGACTGCTTTTTGGCACAATATGGAATGTGGCCACAAAAATACATGTAAATCCATGGATTGGCGCAACTATTCAAATTTCCCAGAAGCATGATAATGGTAAATGCTGCACCTGGAATGAAATAATTGGAGAGATATGGGTATAAATAAGACAATTCAGAGAGTAGTAATAAATTGATGCTCTGTGATGTGCCTGTTATTAAATGAATTGACTTAACTGTCATAGGATCCATTTACCATTTTTGCAATAGAAAAAAATGTTAAAATAACATTAGAAGATTTCAGTTCATTTAATGGCTAAAAAAGATTGTAATTCTGTAGTTACCAACAGTATATAAAACTTTGTAGCTACAAATGCGTAAGATTTATTTCAGAGATAGATATTTTGTATAACTCTTCTTACTCCATATAAATCTAAATGTTAATGTAGTTGCTTGTTACCTTAATCTGTGAAAATACAATCTCAGAAATGCATGCCTGTAGAAAGAATTTTTAAAACAAAAATCATAACAAGATCTTTTCAGAAAACAATTATAGTCTAACATTTTCTTATTTTTGCCTGTATTTGATCTCTAAACAACTGAACTTCAGAAATAAATTTGGCAATCAATTTTCAAGAAGAATAGCAATATAATTTTGAAAATATTAATATTGTATACAGCATTTTATTCTTTTGTATATTAGGCTTGTTTTTATTACATATTATTACATATTCTCTAAATGTATATACTGATAAAAGTTACAAGATTTTGACTGTGTTGTTTACTAATAATTAAATTCTAAATAATCTTGGTTAGCCTTCCCTTCAGGAAAGCCTTATTGAAAGCATAGGTGTAAACATGTGTACACACACACACACACAAAGTAACCCTTAAGATTATTTTTGATTATGCAATGTAAAATGTTATCAGCTATTGTACATTAATAGAGTATGCAAACAAACTAGTCCTTTACATATAATCATGCATAAAATGATTATACATAGTTCAGTCTAAATAATATGTATATATAAAGAGAAAATTTAGCAATGTGATTAGCTACCATAGTTATTTATAAGTAAAAGGAGTATCTTACCTTCAGTAACACCACTAGGGTACCATACAGACCACAACTGTACAATGAAGAAAGGTGTCCAACACAAGACATATGCAACAACTATCACCACTGTCATTTTTACAGTCTTGATCATAGCCTTTGAAATATAGTTAATACTGTTTGCTTGGGATGACAGGATTTGCTTCTTATTTATTACTTCAGAGTCATTCCTTTTTTTCACGTGTATGTTCATTTGTATTATTTTACAGATCTTAACCTGGCATAGCGTAAGGATAGCTGTGGGAATGAAGAAAATAGCTACAAAAATCCAAGTCACATATGCTTTTAAGCCCCATGGTTGGATGAACTCACCCCAGCATTCAAAGATATCTGGAGATATTTCAGTCTTAGAAAAGATAAATACTTGTGGAAGACTAAAAAACAGAGATGTAGACCAGCCAGTGCAAATGGCAGCATTCCAAAGAGCTCTTTTCTTTTGGAAAGTGACCATGGGATAGCATACAGCTTGATATCTGTCCACTGTCATGACCACAATCATATAAGCAGAGGCAAACATGCCCAACAGCTGCAAATATTTGATCATTTTGCACAGTGCATCTGGCCCCATAAAAACATCTGTGATGTCCCATATTAATTGGGGAAGGACTTGAAAAAATGCTACCACTAAGTCCGCAATGCTCAGGTGAAGCATGAATACATACATCCTAGACAACTTCTTTCTTCTCCTCCACAGTACCAGTATGAGAATAAAATTGCCCACAGATGCTGTCACAAATATTATTCCCAACACACCAATCTCTACCTGAGCTAATTGCTCATCTCTTTCTGGTCTTCCAAGTGTATCTGACTTATTTGTCAAGCTCAGGACAAGCTGAGGAAAAAGACTTTCAGTCTGATATGCATTGGTTTGCACAGGAAATGAAAAATTTTCCATAGTGCACAGAAGCTACGTGCAGTAGCAGTTACTCACGACTTAGGTTGATAGCTGAAATACTGGCTAGTAAATATGTCAGCACTAGTTCAGGTTTCAGTGTGTCTTGAAATAAATCTCCATGCATGAATGAGCCTGAAGCCGCAGACCTGCATTTTGATAGACTTCTCTCTCTTGCAAGAATGAAAAAAGGCTTTATATAGTCTTCAGACAGAGCCTTATGTAACTTCATAATCATTTGGCAGGCTGTAGTTGTCTTAGCCAATAGGAAAACAACTAATATAACTGGAATAAATACATAAATAAAATGAGAACCACAGAGACTTGAAATAATCAAATCACTTATGTCAGTGTGGCCAAAATAATACATATTTTTACGCATGAGAGCTTTGCCAAATATGTTTTATATAAACCAGAACTGTAGTCCTCAGTTTAGTAACTAGGATTTTAGTCATAAATATTTACATGAGGATGGAAAAGTTAGGCCCCTGAGTTAAGCTGCATGGTCACTCTAACCCTCTTGGACCTCCTGAAAAAAAGACCACACCCTAAATGCTGTGAACACAGAGGTTTTTTTCATTAAATATTCTCTTTTCAGATCTCTGTCAGCTGATCTAGAAAACAGACTTAAGTGATTTTAAAACAATTCTTAAGCAAAAAGAAAATTAACACATGGAATAAATTACATCTATTGGGACTACAAAGCTTCTGTTGTTTAAATGAGAGGGGATGGAAAGCAGGACAGGAACATTCAGTGGGAAATTCAGCTGCTCAAGAGGTGTGAATGATACAGTAGTCTACACGACAGCTTTTAAATTCCAGTCCTACAATTTGCAAGGATGTTTAAATGTTTTAAAGTAAACTCTCTCACTTTTTTTCTTTACTCTGTGTAATGTTATTTTGATGATTTGAGGAAGCTTGTCTAAATATAGCTTTTGAATTCTATTTTATGTGGGCAGTCCCACTGACAGGAAGGCAAAGAGAACAATTGTCTAGGGTTCTAAGTGATGTAAATAGGCCTTGGGCCACTGGCCATTACCTTCAGCATATAGTAGCAGGACTAAGGCTGGCTAGCTGCCTGTCCTCACTCTGCACTGTTCCCAGAAGTGGCCAGCACATTCCTGCAGCTTTTGGGGTGGCCGGTGTCCACATGCTGCCCCTACCTTGAGCACTGACTCTTCATCTCCTATTGGAGCAATCTCCATCCCAATTCAAGTCCCAGAGAAGATATTGGCCAAGGCATGTCCTGGTGGGTCATGATGAGTCATAGAGTTGAGCAATCTTCATTATGTAGTGTTTGCATAACTCTCTCTTAGGCTATGTCTAGACTGCAAGCCTCTTTCGAAAGAGCAAGCCGCTTTTTCGAAAGAAAGCACCCAGTGAGTCTGGATGCTCTCTTTCGAAGAAGCCCTATTTACATTCAAGAACGCCTTCTTTCGAAAGAAGCACTTTCGAAAGAAGGCGTTCTTCCTCATGAAATGAGGTTTACCACCGTCGAAAGAAAAGCCGCGTTCTTTCGATTTAATTTCGAAAGAACGCGGCTGCAGTCTAGACGCAGGTGAAGTTTTTTCGGAAAAAGGCTACTTTTCCCGAAAAAACCCCTGAGTCTGGACACAGCCTTACAGAATTGTAACTCTCTTGTTTACAATTCCCTTGCTGGTCAATGGCTTATGATGGTTACTTAATGCTCATTTGGGTGTGGGTCACCACCTTTGTTGTCACTGTTGAACTAGCTGTGGGCAATTCCCAGACATACAACATATTTCAATAACAATCTCATAATTTCATACACAATAATGATATCCCTATTTTGACAGAACAATAAGTTTCAATGGATCATCATTATTTATATGGTACCTTACAAGACATGTTTTGTATGAAACATCACATCCATAGATAAACGAGTAAAGTTAAAGGATGCTATTTTGAGATAAAGCATGTTACAATACCAATATAGGTCTTCAGTGCCTGACTTAAGGAACGGATCATCTAGTAAGGCTCATCTGTGAGTCATCTCACAAAGGAATCTGGAAGTTATAAAAGAGAGGGTCTATCACTGGCCATCTTGGAGAGAGGAGAAGAGAGACCAAAGAGACTCCATGTTCTTGAGGAGGTCATATGCAAGAGCACAAAAAGTATCTCTGACCTGAAACCAAAGAAAGTTCAGAGTGGCCAAGAAACAGATAGAGAAATGCACACAAATGTGCTTATTATTTTTAGCCCTGTATATTACTTTGTGCTCATAGAATCACAGAATCCTAGGGCTAGAAGAGACCTCCGGAGATCATTGAGTCCAGCCGCCTGGTCAAAGCAGGAGCAACCCAAACTAAATCATCCCAGCCAGGGCTTTGACAAGCTGGGACTTTAAAACCTCTAGGAACGGAGATTCCACCACCTCCTTAGGTAACCTATTCCAGTACTTCACCACCATCGTAGTGAAATTGTTTTTCGTAACATCCAACCTAGACCTCCCCCCACTGTAACTTGAAACCACTGCTCCATGTTCTGCCATCTGTCACTACTGAGAACAGCCTCTCTCCATCCTCTCTGGAACCTCCTTTTAGGAAGTTGAAGACTGCTGTCAAATCCCCCCTCTCTTCTGCAGACTAAATAAGCCCAAATCCCTGGGCCTCTGCTTGTAGGTCGTGTGCTTCAGCCCCTTAATCATTTTGGTTACCCTCTCCATGCATCCATATCCTTTCTATGGTGGGGGCCCCAGAACTGGACGCAATACTCCAGATGTGGCATCACCAATGCCGAATAAAGGAGAATAATAACTTTTCTAGATCTTTTCTAAATGCTCCTCCCAGTGCACCCCAATATGCCATTAGCCCTCTTTGCTACAAGAGCACATTGTTGACGCATATCCAGCTTCTCATTCACTGTAATCCCCAGATCCTTTTCTGCTGAAATGCTACTTAGCTATTCAGTCCCCAGCCTGTAACAGTGTTTGGGATTATTCTGTCCCAAGTGCAGGACTTTGCACTTGTCCTTGTTGAACCTCATCAGATTTCTTTTGGCCCAATCCTTGAATTTGTCTAGGTCACTCTGGACCCTATCCTGACCCTCCAACATATCTACCTCTGCCCCTAGTTTAGTGTCATCCACAAAATTGCTGAGGGTGCAATCCATCCCCTCATCCAGGTCATTAATAAAGACGATAGACAAAGCCGGCCCTAGAACCAATCCTTGGGGAACTCCACTTGCAACTGACCACCAGCCAGACATTGAGCCACTGATCACTGTCTCTTGAGCCTGACAATCTAGCCAGCTTTCCAGCCACCTTACATTTGTCCATTTATCCAATCCATATTTCCTTAACTTGCTGGCAAGAATATTGTGGGAGACCATATCAAAAGCTTTGCTAAAGTCGAGGTATATCACATCCACTGACTTACCCATATTCACAGAGCCACTTACCTCATCATATAAGCTAATCAGATTGGTCAGGCACAACTTGCCCTTCGTGAATCCATGTTGACTATTCCTGATCACTTTCCCCTCTTCCAAGTGCTTCAAAATGGATTCCTTGAGGATCCGCTCCATGATTTTTCTGGGGACTGAGGTAAGGCTGACTGGCCTGTAGTTCCCTGGATTGTCTGTCTTCCCTTTTTTAAAGTTGGGCACTACATTTGCCTTTTTCCAGTCATCTGGGACCTCTCCCGATCTCCACAAGTTTTCAAAGATAATGGCCAAAGGCTCTGCAATGACATCTGCCATCTCCCTCAGTACCCTTGGCTGCATTAAATCTAGACCCATGGATTTGTGTATGTGATAACTAGTGTAAAGAGTAATTGGTTTTGACACCGCTAAAACGGTCTGTGTATTTATTCGCTTTCAACTATCCTATGTCTCTAAAGAAGTGACTTTAAATCTAGAATGCCTAAAAGTTTGGAATTCTGAGAAAAATCATTGTTATTCTCAGAGGCTACGTCTAGACTACAAGCCTCTTTTGAAAGAATCTTTCGAAAAAGCCTCTTTTGAAAGAGAGCGTCTAGACTACAAGCAGACTTTTTGAAAAAGTGAGCCGCTTTTTCAAAAGAGTCTAGACGCGTTCTTTCAAAAAAGCACAGTTTGAATTCAATAGCACCTTTTTTCGAAAGAGTACATTCGAAAAAAGGCGTTATTCCTCGTAAAATGAGGTTTACCATGATCAAAAAAACTGCTGCATTCTTTCAATTTACTTTTGAAAGAACGTGGCTGCAGTCTAGATGCAGGTGATGTTTTTTCAAAAAAAGGCTACTTTTAAAAAAAAAAACCCTGTGGTCCAAACATACTCTGAGGGTGTCAGAAGGGCCAGTATTGCACTTGAGAACTAAGGACAGGTGTGCTGTGGGAGGAGGGAGCTATTTCTGTGAAGGAGTAACAGAGAGAGCCTGTGGAGGAGAGATAAATAACAAAGAGTATTGCAGTTTTTGGAGACCAAGGGAAGCTTAAGGGCACTCAGGGTCAGCTTGCGAGGCCCAAATACAGCAGCTTTGTGATTCCAGAACCATGGAGAACTCTGCCAGCGTATAACAGGGCAGGACTTATCCCCATGTAAGGATGTTAAATTTAGATTAATCAACTAATTGAATAGTAATTTGCATTGACTATTTCATTAGTTGAAAAGGGCAATTGCACCTTTGAAATGTAGCAAGAGCCCTGCTGGCTCTTGGTACATTTCAAAGATGGAAGTGCTACTGGGAGTGCAGGCCCAGAAGGGGACTGTTTGAGTTCCCTGTTGGCCCTGCACTCCCTGTGGTGCTTTGCTTTTGAAATGTAGCAAGAGCCCTGCTTTTGCTACGTTTCAAAGGCAGAAGCTCCTGCCAGTTCCCCGCTGCACCCCTGCCCCTTCTCCCCACGGAGCTGGTGGTGGTGGGGAACTAGCTTTTAAGCCAGCTCCCCCAGCACCAGATCCTGCTAGCCATCCCTTGCTGCCTCTCTCTGATAGAGGCAGCAAGGAGTGTGGTGGGGAAGCGACTAGTCGAGTCACTAGTTGACTATCCAATAAGCATTTGCTTAGCAGAAGGTCGACTAGTTGCTTACATCCCTATCCCAATGGCACCTCCAGTTGGTCACTTGGGAATTGTTCCATTCAGACCTGGAGCACCATTTTCTGTTGGGTGTCTCACCTGCTGTTGTTTCCTCCATTACTTTGTGTTAGGGCCCACATCCCTCCCAGACTGCAGTGCCCTTCCCACATTGTCCTAGTTCAGTGCCCCTGCACTCTGGGGTCCTCCCCTCTCAAGGAACCCCCAATCCTCCTATGTGAGTTCAATCCTTGAGGGGGCCATTTAGGGATCTGGGGCAAATTTGTCAGGGATGGTACTTGGTCCTGCCGTGAAGGCAGGGGACTGGACTCGATGACCTCTCAAGGTCCCTTCCAGTTCTATGAGATAGATTTATCTTCATATATATATAAACCACCTTGCCTCAGTGATCCACTGCCAGCTGCTTACCTCAGGGGCAAACCAGAGTCTGAAGTGGACACTCATCTTTGGCAAGGAGATGTGGACCTACTGCCTTTTACTATTCTGGCTGTTTCACTACAGCCCTGCAGCTAGGGAGTGAGGTCAGGCCAGAGCTCCCCAGCTCTGCCTGCTTTTCCCTAGCACTACTCTGTCTACAGCTCTAGTACACTCAGGCCTTGCTTCAGGCCCTGCAACCTGGGAGTGAGATCAGGCCAGAGCTCCCCAGCTGTGCCTGCCTCTTCCCAGCACAGCTCTGTCTCAGGAAGCCTCTAGTTTCCATGGCAGCCAGATCCCTCCTGCTCCCCAGCTAGAGCAAGAGCATGTGTTCTTCTTTCCCTCCAGGAGCTCTTATTTATACAGCTCTGGCTGGTCCCACATCTGTCTCAGCTGAGGGCTCAACCCTCTCAGCTTCTCTCAGGGCTAGGTTTTAAAGGGCCAGTGCCTGCAGGGCAGATGTGACAGCAGTACTAAGACTGTGATAGTCTCCCTTGCTTTCTCTATTGGTATGAATTTAGCATATAATTGTGACAGAAGGAGCTAATTCATTTATTATTTTCTTTCCTCTCCAATCTTTCCCTTCAGTCCCAAAAGATGCAAGTGGATTTACACAAAAACTGAACATGAATTGAAACATGCATCTTGGCATGGGGTTAGGGTATGCATATTCTTGTGATGGAAGTATGGAGAGGGGGTCAGGAGTCCTTATGGAGAAATACATGACAAGGGGACATGGGTGTATCTGAGTCTACCTCCCTTAAAAGCCCAACTCATGTGACAGACAGACTCTGTTACCTTTGCCTGATTCTGCAAGTTGTCTACTGAGATAAAGTTTTACCTCCTGCAGTTATAATTTACTTCAGTACAATTTATTTGT